TGTGGAGTTTCACTTTGGAAATTGTCACCTAAGCCACACATTCAGACCATTGCTAACTGCCACTTTGATTAAATGGGGCAGGGGAGTCGAGCCCCAGATTTGAGCTAAGGAGAATCTGGAGAAGGGGGAGATGAGAAAGGGGGGAATTGGGGCAGGCCAGGCAAGGACATATTGGAGAGGGTCTTGCTGTGGGGAGGAGGTGGGAGGGGCCTGGAGAGAGGAGGGGCCTTGAAAGGTGGGCATAGATGAAGGGAGGAGGGGAAGGCCAGGGCCACCAAAGGTACCCTTCCAGTGGGATCATTAGTACAAGACCTTCTTAATTTTTTTGGAACCAAGCCCATATGCAGAGAGGATCTTACCTTTGAGCCTCTTTGCCCCCAGCTAAGGCTGCTTGAAAAAATTCACATGTAAACATTTACATGTCTCTCAAGTGATATTCACAGTTTTCCCAAATTTTTTTTCACAGACTTAAAATACACTGGAAGCATTTTTTTAAAAGTTTTATTTTCATTGCATTTCAAACACAAGATGGGCATTCCACTCCCAACGCATAACCCCTCTCTTTTTAAATCAAGCCCCTCCTACTGTATTCTGTAAAAGGGCAAATGATTGGCTTACCTCTGGCTCTTCCCTAGGAAAAAAATGATTTCATGTTTTTTCAACATAGCCACGCCCACCGCCCTGGAACCAGCCCTTTGTGGTTTTGGACCCAGGCTTGCCTACAGCGGGTGAGGTGGGGTTTTTCTTTTCCTCCCTCCTCCCTCCATCCCCACACCGGGTGAGCCGAGTGTGTGTGGAATACCGAATTGATGCGCGCAGCCCCGGACGCCCCAGATACCTGAGTGTCTGGTTTTTCAACCGTTAAGGCGGGAGGGTTTGGCGAACGAATGAGAAGTGAGGAAACGCTTAGCGCAAAGGGAAAAAAGAGAGAAAGACAGACAGAAAACAGGTTATGGAGGCCGGCCGGAGGCGGCCCCCTCCCCCCACCCAGCGGGTGGCCCGAGGGCTCCCACTACCTTCTCCGCAGTTTTAGCGCCGCCGGCTGCAGAGCGCCCGCGCACAGGTACCACCGGAGTGTGCGAACACGGAAAGTTTTTGCCCGCGCAATGGCGCAAAACACAAGACAGCCCATTCCCCAGTACAAGTCCACAGTCGGCGGGTAATTTGGGGAGTGCCAGGGTGGGAACTGGAGAACACTTGAGCATGTCATGCACAGGCGGACACAATATGGACACCAACACACACCAACAACAAGCTGTCTGAGTCTAAGCAGCCGTGCCAGGCGAGGCGGGGACGCACCTTCCCCAGTGACCCCAACCCACCACGGCCCCAGCCAGCCCAGCCTGGGCAACCCCGAGACCCCTCCCCAGCAGTTCCTGGCTCACCTGAAGCCCCCGCCTTTCTTGCCGGCCCCCACCCCACGACTCGGGGACGTCTTACGGTCGCTGGCGCTGGTTTGTCCAGCTGGAAACGACCCTCAGTGTTGTACGGCACCACTTTTCCCGGCACCATTTTTCTCCCTAGAGGGCATAGACTTCGCCACCCAAGCCCACCCCAGACCCTCCCGCTCCCAGGGCAAAGTTAGGGCCCCTCGCTGGAACTTTCTAGCAGGCTCTTTCCGCCTTTGCCCAGACCGCCCTCCTCCCGCCACCAGGCCCTGAGCCCCATCGGGCAGCCCTGCCACCCCATCCCGGGGTCCCCGGGCGGCCCTGCTCCCCACTGGCAGAGTCCGCCGCATTACCTAGAAGCAGCAGGCGGTGCGTACACATGTAGCCCATCTTCTCGTTCTGGAGTTGCTTGTCGATGAGCTTGCTGCGTTTCTTCTCTGCGCGCTTCTGGGCGCGCTTCTCCAGGCTTTCCTTGCGGACCTGTCTGCGCTTCTCCGCCAGGGGAACCTTCTTGACCTTGGGGCTGGTGGAGCCCCTGGACTGGGGGCTCTCAGATCGGCAGAAGCAGCCTCCGAAGGCCTGGACAAGGAAGTTGCGGAGCAAGTTGCGCCGGGGCTTTCGGCGGCGGCGGCTTCGCCTGGACTGCAACCAGCGGCGGCATCCGAAGGTCCCATCGTCGGATTCGTCTCCGCTGTCGCTGCTGACTGATACTTCGTCGTCGTCGCGGTCGCAGCTGCGGTCGGACCTGCCCCGCCAGGCATATGCGCGAGGAGGCTGCGGAGTAGGCGGATCGGCAGCCTGGATCTCGGGGCTGGGGGGTCTAAGGAACCGGATCTTGGGTCGGGCTCCTGAGGCAGGGACAGCAGGGGCGGCCCGGGCGGCAGAAGCAGCCGGAGCGGCTGTGGCCGCTCGGG